TGTGACTGCATTCTAGGCGATCGGGCTCCTTCAATAGTGGATCAAAACGAGGAGGGGATACTCAACAGGTTTTCAATCTGACGATAGAGGACTGGCAGCAAGCCAAAAGTTTTGCGTGGCGGCCAGTTGTGAGGTTGTGGTGTTCTAGCTACTGGGATGCAGCATGTGTGGCAAAGTGGACTTCGGCTGCAGCCAGATCCAGGGTTCGCTTCACTCGTTGTTAAAGGACTTGTTTGAAGGGCACTTGGTTGAAACATGCAAACAGGCGGAGCAGATCCGCATTTATATGTACTCTACCTGATAGTTTTATGGAACAGCTTGACTCATGCTGTTCTCGGAAGTATGACCCACCCAGTTCTTCAAATGTGATGTAGAGTTTCACCATGCTTGAGGCTACTCCCTGTTCGCGAAATTTTGTAGAGGACCAGAAGATCCACTAGAACCCAGGGTCAGCCAATTCTTGAAGTACTCTTTGGGCTGGCTCAAGTTCTTTGCCAGTGCTTGCCATTGGTTTTCCCTGTTTGGTTGAACATGAAGCCCCCCCTCGAAATGCAGAACATGTAGCAGGGCTGTTGTTTCCTGAACTTATTCTTGAGTTGGCAAACGTTTTGCTTTTGTGTTTTGGTTTTGTAGGAAACCCACTGAGGACACGTATTATTAGATACATGTCCCCGAGCCTTCCGTTTGACAGCGGCATTGGTGCAATAGAGCCTTAGCTGGGTAACCCAGAAGAGCCCAAGCTTAGTGAAGGATCCTAGCTCGGTACCTGAAGATGTAGTCAATGCATGCGCCGTGAAAAGGCACCTTCCACAGAGGGAATCCAGTTTGAAAGTGATACAGTACTGCGATGAACATGGAACCTAAACTCCCTTTTGGGGGTCCCATCTTGATTTGTAGGGGAGTCAGAGGCATGTCGGGGTTTTGGGGGCTTCCCTGTCCAGTGCACCGAGAAGGAGTTCTTCCAGCGTTTACCAGATCCTGGTTCCCGTCCAGACCACAGAAAACAGTACCCTCCCTCCCAAGGTAATTGCCTTTGAGAGGAAACTGATCCCCCAGGCACCCTCCCGCAAATGTCAGTGGGAGGGAGGGTGGCTGAAATCTGACGCTTTGGTCTCAGCTAACCCCTAGTTGGTGATCGGAATTTGGGGATTTGAACCCTTGGCTTTTGTAGAGGGTAAATGGGACACCCCATCCTGACCACCAATTGCAGGGAAGAGCTGAACCCCACCGCCCAACCGGACCGAACATCCACGGAGCCAGGCTCCCCAGTCGCTTGGCCTGACGAGCCTTCGGCGGAGAAGAAGCCGAGCTCCGGAATGGCGGGCTGGGCCCGGAGCCAAAGACGAAGTCGGAGATCTAGGGAGGGGAGTATCTGAGAGATGCGTGGGTTCGGGTTGGGTTGGGGTTTGTCTGGGAAGGCCCTTCGGTTTTTTTGTTGGAGGGGGGGGGAACATTGCAAATCCAAGAATGTTGGGACGCCTAAAACATCGTCTGCTTTTTGTTGGAGAATGGCAACATCCCGTGTAAAGATGGTTTTCCAGAATCATACAATCTGCCACCTCCGGACGGGGAAAACCAAACCCCCGAGGCCCCCCTCGTTTTACCAAGGGGAGCAAGAGATCAAGAGGGAAGCTAGCGCGTTTCGGGGTTGCTTGAAGGGAACTGAACCACTTGGGGGGGCCTGAGTTTGGCAAAGAAGGGAAGCCCCGTTTTGCCTTAGTTCATAGATGAACGTTGCTTGACATCTGAGACATTGTTGCCCTCGACGCAACTGTGGGTCCGTCTTCCTTGGAAAAGCTACCCCAGGCCACAATACCTTCTTCAAAGTGCATCAGTGAGATGGACACCTGTAGCAAAAGGGTCACTTCAAAAGCGGCTCTGATTTTCGGTCGGTTTCTCTTCCAGTCACCATTCCAAAGCGTCCAAAGGTCCAACAGGGTACCTCAAATGTCACATGTGTCATTACCAGTCCCAGCCAGGGAGGTGAGTAAGGGGCAAAGCCGCCTTTTTATTCAAGACATACTCGAGGTTTGGTCTTGAAATCTGTACCTTCCAGGTGCATCAGTTGGAGCTGGACCTGGATGTGGCAGCCACTGGGCGGCACTGGCCATACTTCCATCGCCTTTGCAGGCAAAGTGGTTCCCAAGAATCGTTGGCTTCCATATGGTGTCCGTTTACACACCACCCCCTGCCCTTGGGTTCAGAATTCCGAGGCATGTTCGGATGTTGTATATCTACATATATAGACATACACACGTACACATACATTATATATATATACACACGTGTACATACATTATGTATATATATATATTATTTATGTACATGATTTATTGATTTCAAGCCAGGGCACTATGAGCCGTAGCAACCTAATATTGACCATAGTCACAGCTGAGGCCCCGGTGATCCACTGGCATTGCACCTCTGGTGTGCTGAACATCCGTCCGGGACTCGCGACCTTGCGCGGCTACGCGCGTTGGTGAGATGCGCAAGGCCCGTGTTTATTTGGGGCTTCATATTTGAACTGCTTCTATGGGTGTTTCCCTTTGGCCTAGCATGTTTTGAGGGCGTGACTGTGATAAAGGGTCAATCTCTCAAGGTTTATGTAGAGAAACAGAGGTCTGTGCTTTGGCACACAACACTAGGCACAGGGAAACACCTAAAAAACCCAAGACCAGGTATTAGAACCACCTAACACGGCCAATGGGGGAGAGCTTTTAGGTCAACTGACCAGATTGGTGGGTTTCCTGTTGGGTTTCCGTTGGTCCTCACAATCTTGGGGCCTCAAAATCAGGTCCTTGAGGTCCACACCCAACAGATTCTCTGGCTGATCTGGGCTTTCCGAGTGTCCCTCACAAACCCCTGGAATAGACGAGATCTGTCCGTTCTGAGAAACGCTCATGCATGTGTTTTGGGTTGGGCATGGTGGCTCCCCGGCCCCCTTCGAAGTGATTGTGTGTAGCTTGAAACATTGGGGACTGACGTCATGAAAAGGGTTCTTTCATGGGGCATTCTTATTTCGGGGGGTTGAAGCAAGCTACACAAATGCAATATGCAGAACATCTCTCTCTCTCTCTCTCGCTCTGGACTTTTGGAGTCTACTGAACGGGGCTCACCGGAAGGGATTCCCGGGAAGTAAACCTGACGACGGTATGCCCTCCCCTGTTCAGAACTGACAGTCCTGCGCTGGTTATGCCACATGGTCAAAGTGTCTTATGGTCGGAGGATTGCAACAAGCTTTTTAGCCGGTGTTGCCTTTTTTAGATTCGCTTCCGCGATGATCCGATAAAAGAAATCAGAGAAGATGGCCGCCTGGACGACACGAAAAGGAGCCCGTGAGGTCGAAGTCTCATGTCATACTTGTGCCATGGTCTTAGACTCACTTGGGGTAGAGAACATGTCATTAGCACCCCTGCTCTGGCTCACCATGTAACTACGAAAGCCAACCGGCCCAGACACCTTGGAGCGCCTTTTAAGGCTTTGGACGTGTTCACCTGCGCACGGCGCCCGCTGGGTCGGGTGCCCAACGGCCCCACGCGCGCGCTTTGCGCGCCGTGCATTGGCGTGTTTCCCTGTGCGTTTTCTACCCGACGAATATGGACTCTTAACCTAGGGGGATCATCAAAAATGAGGCTTTCCTGTTTGGAGGCGCCTGATTACGTGTTCGGAAAAGAGAATAACATAAAACAGCATCAATGTAAACAATTGGGTACACGGTTGTCCAAAGTGATTTTGCCAGCCTGACCTTTTGGTTGGCTATGCTTGACTTCTGCTTAGACCCAACAACCCAGTCGCGAGCCTTTTGTTTCCTGGTGCTTTGCTTGCAAGTGATTGGAAATTTGCTACACGTTTGAAACTGCAGCCAGCCCAAAAGGGGGCAACTACCTCAAGCCTTAGCACAATCGTTCAGGAGGTTGTTGCAATAGAGATCAAGTCGATAGACAACTACATTGAGGCCGCCCCTATGTTTCCGCATCGGGTGGAGGGGGGGGGGGGCGGCATTTGGCGATGGCACAGCGTCCTGGAGTCTGTCACTTCCAGGGCTCATCCAGGGGCTTGTTTCGAGCTGACAGGATATATCTTGCTTGCACCTGCCAGCTCTGATCTGATGGGCTTAGACTAGATGGCACCTGCCCCTTTCTGGGCTCCATGACAAAGGCAAGGTTGTCTCACAAGCGAAGACTTGCTGCTACCTTGTGCAAAGAAAGGTCCTGACCAAAATCGCAGGGTTTCCCTTCTGCCCTCTGCAGGTGTCCCGATTTACGGGTCCCAGAGGGGCCTTTGAGGGCCAGCTTGGTTGTTGGCACGCGGAAAGGAAGGCCACAGTCAAGGGCTCCAACTTCACTTTTCGGAAGTTGCCACATGGGTGTAGTTCCCTTTTTTGAGGGTTCCCCTTTTGTGTGCTCTGCAGACGGAAACCAAAAGGGCAACTCACTTTAGGGGTTCCCTCAAAGGCACACCGTTTCCCATGTCCGGCTTTCCAACTTCATGTTTCCACGTTCGCCTCGGTTGAGCAAATATACCTGTCACTTCCGAACTTAGACTTACACCTGCGGGCAACTAGTCGGCAATGAATAAAACATATTTGGTGACAATGGGTTGACACTCTCGAGTACCGTACAGGAAGTGGAGTGAGGTTCTGGCTGATGTTCAACGGAAAGTCTGGAAATGCACTGCAAGCCCTGAATAATAGAGTATGGATGGCAAAAGAGCCAAACAAAATGTTGGTGTTCCTGTTGGTTTCCCATAAACACAAGGTGAAAAGGGTAACCTCAATGAACACACACCTATACAAGGAGCCCTGCAAATGACGAGGAACCTGAGTGCCAGCGTGCGGCGAGGCCCGGGTTTTTGACCGACGCCATTTGGTCGCCGCCGGAGACAGCGGCGCCGGCGGAGCTTTCGCGCTTCGCGGCTGTGTGCCTCTTTGAGGAGAGGGGGGAAAAGGGTTTCCCAAAGTACCTGGAGTCTTCGTGACCCCGTAAAAATGCAGAAGGGTCATGGGTGGGTTTTTGACACACAGGGATTTAGTAGTTTTTTGCGCAAACCCACCCCCCATGAGGGGACACTTTCCAGAAGTAAGAATGGGGTCTTGACCCTGTATTTGAGTTCCTTGCCTTTTTTTTGAGTTCGTGACCCTTGGTCTTCGGTTCTGCCGAAATAGCCTTAATTAGGTGTCATGAGTATTTGTCACAATGTTTTGAGTGAGTGGTGTGTTGCGTTGCTTCCAAGGGGTTGCGAAGGTTGGTCAGATGACACACACACACTATGATCAGAAGTGGAGAGGGCGTTTGGTGGGTGAACGTTTTTGGTTTTGGCGGTACCAAAAGCTAATGGAAGACAGACGGGAGTGGGTTCAGTGTAATGCCCAAGGTGGACAGCGCTTCAACTCGCAATGTAAATCAAAATTACGCCTAGGTTAGGGAGTCCTGTATCATGGAAGATAAGTTCAAAATATTAGTCAACTGGGGGGTATGGTCCTTACCCATGAACACCTTCTTCAGGGTTGAATAGGCGGCAGCTCCTCCCCCTTCCCAGGAAGTTTATTTTTTAGATTTAAGCAAGCTACGTCAAACTCAGAAGGCTTTGCGATCCCCGGAGAGGTTCCTTTCACAAGACAACCCTGATTTCTGGCTGTCAATTAGTGATTGACCAAATATGTCCTTGGATAGCGAGTCCATTGATTGCGAGTATTTCAATTTTAAGCTGTGTGTCATT